CTGTTCAATTTCAGAGCAAAACGGAGCTCCCAGTATACTATACAGCATGCACTCAGTTATCTCTGTCCTTGGCAGTGAGTATCATGGGCAATAGGTTTGAAGGTTTCAAGGCACATGGATATATGTCAAATCACAGTCACTCAGGTGGCCACAGTAAGACAGGTCCATATATTTTAGAATTGTGCAAAATGAACTGCAATTTGAATCTACTTGATATCTACTTGAATTAATTGGCAAGGTTGGGGAGAACCAAAGTTACGCATGGGCAGAATCAGATTGAATGTTAAGTGGCTCTTCTTTCTGCATTGAATAGGTTATCAGCTATTGTAGAATTTACTGCACTTCTTGAAGAGAAACGTAACTGATTCCTCTGCACAAGGAATAAATATCCTGTAGTGTAAATGAAGGCCTTGTGATCTCCTGGAACAGTCTGAACTGTTTAAAGGGGTCGGAGAGAAACTTTCAAGAGCTCATGACAATCCTCTTCATTTAATCTTAGTTTATGACGTCCCTTAGGCCATTTCATGATATCTAAACTATATAAACAAACTGTTGCTTTTCTCTGGCTTATCATCTCTCCAGCAGATTGCATAGCTCTGAGAGGCATATGCAGTGTCTACTGTGTCTTGCACTACATGTGAATAAATATGTAAGTTTTATGGCCAACTGGCACACAGTGTATTGCTCAGATTGCACTCAATTATCTATTTTTGATCATAAATTCTCTGATCATTAATCTCTCTAAACCTCCACAATGTCATGTCGTGTTTCTTTTTGCATTTCTGACTATCTTCACCTCTTCCTCAATTGCTCAAAAGGTTATTACATTTCTAGTTCTTTTTTTCCTCAGTTCTGACGATGGGTCACAGACCAGAAGTATTAACTCAGTTATCATTCTCTATAAATGCTGCTACACTGGCATACCAATTGTAGCATTTATTGTTTTTACTTAAAACGTCCGACATCTAAAGCATTTTACTTTGGTGTTCAAATCTGTATCATGATGGATAAAGCATCACAAATATCAACACAATGTTAACTGGATCAGGAATTCTTTACCCATCTATCATTTTTGTAAGTAACTGAAATTATGAGTGTAGAGTGAACTTCAGTGTTAAAAGAAGTATTTTTGCAATTTTTGCCATGAGTCTTTTAAATAAATTGATTTATATAGTCTAAACAGATTTCCATTTATCTTTCAGAAATTACAAATTGCTTACAGCTATACACAAAACACAGTGTGTGTGTTTGAGGGCTGCAGAGAAAAATAGTGATCACCATTTGCCTATATAATACCTGCCTTCTGAATTGTGAGTTATTGCTGCAGAATACTTCAGAGAAAAAATAAAATTCTAACTGCAAGATTTTCCTTGTACGGGAAGTTTTTTTGAATACAATGTTACATTACTTGCAACGTGGAATCCTTTATGAATGCTGCAGCAACCCAGAATAATCCATGTGAACAAACCAAAGGGCTAAAGTGATACATGTTTTCAACAAGGTACTGAATACAAAGTAAGATGTAATCACAAACAGCAACATGTTCAGAGTCAATAGGTGTGCAGCTGGAAACGTTGACTTTCCTGCTCCTCAGATACTGCCTGACCTGCTGTGCTTTTCCAGTTTCACATCTATTGACTCTGGCTTGCAGCATCTGCAGTCCTTACTGTCTCCTAGCAACATGTTCAGTTCAGCTCTATCAAAACATAGTGACAGAGTGTGGTTAGCCGTGATCCATTCTTTCCATTGTGTACTAAGTGGTCAGCAGTTTGCTGTGCGTTTCTATTTCTAATAATTCTGCTATATAATCTCACAGGGATTTCAGCTTGTATCCAAATGTGAAAAGCATTAAAATCAATAACGAATTCCACATATTCACAGATACTGTTTTTTTTCCCCTTCAAGTCATTTCTTCTTACATGAGAACTTAGAAACGGATAGAGTGATGCCCAGTTATTAGAGGCCTATACAACTTTGAGCGTCAAGGGATTTCACAATACCCAAATCGTAATCTTTCACCTGCCAGACTACTGACGGAAAGAGGGTGGGGAGTGAAGGTGGGGGAAAACAGCTTTATGGGCCATATTTTCCTACAGCTACTGCCTATCAGGTAACGAGGCAATAACCATTTTATGCAGCATTTGTTTAATACACGTTCAAGCAGGGATCTTTTTCTCAAACCGAAACAGCTTGACTGACTTCATATTGTGTTGGTCTTTATCTTGGGCTCTGAAAACTTTGCACATAAAGGTAGGGGCCGTCCTGCTTCTTACAGCTTCAGCTCATGTCAGTGTTTCATTGCCGCTAAACAATACCTCTCCGAGTTCCTGCTGTCGAAGTAAACGAATTCCCCAGCCAGGATACATTTAGCGCAGGTGAGGCGCCTTCTGGCGGTGTTGCAGAGCGGACAGCGCTCCACAGCCACATAAAGGCCCTCGGCGTCGTCCACCGAATCGAGCAGCGGCAGCGGTTGGTCGCGTGTTTGCCCGGGCACGGCTCGCGTTACCTTCCTCTGCTCCGTGGGAGACGCCATAGTAAGAGCGCGCGGCCTTGTCATGTGGTTTTGTTTTACTCGAATGCATTGTGGGAGCCGTTGTTTGATCACGTGCCTCAAACCGGTGATCGTCCACCAATTACTTTCGGCGCGCGATGCAAGGCGATTGGCAGGTAGGCGATAAGCCCCGCCCATCCACCCCGGGCCGGCAAAACGGCCTTCGATCTACTGAACTATGGCAATAGCTCCACTTCTTCACTGTGGGATATAAATTTCTCTCCTGCTCTCATTCCACCACCAGCAGTCGTCGATTAATAGCAGCAGCGTTAGCCTTTTGAAATTCGAAGTTTACTGATGTTGAACCGGCGATACACCAAGTTTAAAATTAGTCGCTAGAACTTGAATCTGAAATCACGCTGGAAGTATTGACATCGTATAAGATGAAAATGTAAGGTGATGCACCGTTCTTAATACACAAGTAGGGTGGCACGGTGGCTCAGTGGGCAGCACTGCTGCCTCACAGCACCAGGGACCCGGGTTCAAGTTTGCACGTTCTCCCCGTTTCCTCTGGGTGCTCCGGTTTCCTTCCACAGTCCAAAGATGTGTAGGCTCGGTGGATTAGCTATGCTAAATTGTCCACAGTGTCCAGGGATGTGTAGATTACAGGGAAAGGGTCTGGGTGGGACGCTCTGAGGGTCGATACGGACTTATTTCCACTCTGTAGGGAGTCTATGCACATACGAGGTACGTTTAGTAAGTTTGGAGATGACACCAAAATTGATGGTATCGTGGACCTTGATTAGATAGGCCAGTGGCCGAGGAGTAGCAAATGGAGTTTAATCTTGATTGTGAGATGCTACATTCTGTTAGCACAGGATTTATATACAATGTGTTGCCAAACAAAAAGACCTTGAGGTGCGGGTTCATAGTTCCTTTAAGGGTAGTTTAGAAAGCCTTTGGTATGCTCGATTATCAGTCAGTGTGTTGAGTATAGGAGTTGGGAAGTCATGTTGCGGCTGTACAGAACACCAATTAGCCCAGTTTTGGAATACGGAGTTCAATTCTGGTCTCCCTGCTCTAGGAAAAACATGGAATGGGCTGGGGCTATTTTCCCTGGAACATTCGAGGCCCCGGAGAGACCTAATAGAAGTTTGTAAAGTCATGAGGGGCATGGATAGGGTAAATAGTCAAGGTCTTTTCACAAGGGTAGGGGAAAGATGTAAAAAAAAAATAAGGACTGTAAGGGGGACCATGCATATGGTATGAGTATGGATTGAATTGCCAGGGGAAGCAGTAGAAGTTAGTACAGTCAAAACAATTAAAAGGCACCTGGATGGGTTTCTGAAGAGGAAGGACTTAGAGGAATATAGAGCAAATGCAACTACTTTTACTGAGGATATTGGTTGGCATGGATGAGTTGGGCCAAAGGATTTGTTTCTGTGCTTATGCATCTTTCATGGCTGTAAGTGAAGACTGGATTCACCAACTCAAAGTCCAGAAGGCAAGTCACCTTACCAAGGCATAAGTAATCTATTAACAATCATTCCTTGGATATTGGATCCAGACAAGCATTTGTCCTCATGGGGTTGACAATTTCCACATATAAACATAAACCATACCCCACACTGATCAATTGTTCACAATAATGTATTTGATTATTTCCATATCAGATGGTCATGATTTCAATTTTGAACTCATTGTGGACTCAAATGTTAACTCTCTCCATAGACGATGCTTGTCCTGCTGAGTTTTTCCAGCACTTATTTCATTGTTGACTTTCTCCTGTTGGCATTTGAAGGTTTTGCAGCTAGTAGTCCCTTGTTAAAGTGGTAATTTTTCTTCAGGTACATATTGCCAGTTCATAAGAGGCCTATACAACTTTAAGCACCAACGGATTTTGCAATACTTTGTGAGTCAGCATGCAATAGTGGTGCATGAAAACTTAGCTCAGTCCAATTCTGTCACAACCCAACAACAGAAACGTAATTGCTGGAAAAGCTCTGCAGGTCTGGCAGCATCTGTGCAGGGGAAAAAAAAAGGACCCTTCTGAGGAAGGGTCCTCTGTTTTTTTTCCTTCACAGATGCTGCCAGACCTGCTGAGCTTTTCCAGCAACTTGGTTTTCGTTCCTAATTTAACAGCATCTGCAGTTCTTTCGGTTTTTCTGTCATGACCCAATGTTCACACACATTGAACTGCAAGTTATACAGAATCATTGTGGCCATTCTAATACAACAGGGAGTGCAGTTTGAATTCAAAGCCTTTCTATTTTGCATGTTTCAATTAGTTATTTCTGAAGACTAGTGACTTGCAGAAGCACATCCAAAGTGATGGATTAATTCTGAGGTTGTAATATATAAATTGCTTGAGAGCCTGGGATTTGTCTGGACATTGTCATAAAACCTGGGTTGAGGGGCGGGGAAGAGCTGGCAAGGAAATATATAAATGGGAGATCTTCAACTGAATAAATAGGTGAAATGGCAAAATATTGGACTAAAAAAGTGAAGAAATAGCACAACAAAGTTCTTTATTTCATGATAAGTACAAGAATAATTTGAAACAACACAAGTTAGAATGCTTATCAATTTCTTTCGTGACAGGTTCCTTTCAATGTTATAACTCAGTATCCTTAACTCTCAATTTTATGAAAAAACAACACATTTCAACCAATAAACTTTTTCCCAATCAAATACCAAAATAAGCCTAAATATTTCTAAAGTTTCATAATTAGATCTTCTCATTTACAAAGAACATTGAGATAGCTTAATCATAACTAGTCCACACGTACTGCTTCAGAGAATGACTTCGGGTTCACCACTATTTCCAATTTACTTCACAGTTTGATTATATTTGCAGAAGGTACCTAGAGGAGAGGCAGCTGAGGGTTAAAAATTAACTAGGACAAAAATATAAAATGGGTAGAAGTAATGAAAGATGGTGAGGAAAAAACACAAAAAAAAACTTAAAGGACGAGCAACTGCGCACTGTTACAGAAGGTATCAATTTGCTGTCAAATAAAGTTAAAATTAGACTAGCAGAGTACAATAGGGGACAGATTCAAATTAGTAAAGAGTATGATCAACACCAGAAGTTCTTCCAGCAAAATTATTAACACATGAAATGGAATTATGGAGCATGATAATGTCTCATAGATAGGATGAAGCAAACATCAGGCACTTTTGGTTGGATGAATTAAAATAGTCCAGAAGACCTACCCTCATTGATATCTCCATGATTTTGTGAATTGTGATATTAGATGTAGTCCCAAGGAAGAAATTTTTTCTCTTAATACGTCCTCATCCACATTGATATCAGTTTCTGTGTAAAAGTTATATGGATGTCATGATGCTTTCTTAAAGCCCTTCAAGATGGGATAGATGTTTTCAAAGGCTTCATAGATCTCTGAACGTACTTTGGCACCTGCAGATAAACAAACATTTTAAACTCTTTTCTCTGAAGAACACGTTGATATTTCTATTGGGGTGCCAAACATTAAAAAGCATCTCACAACAAATCTATGACATAAAAATGTCAAGTTTTTAGCAATTTCTGTGCTGATATACAAAAGTTCAGCCTTCAGAATGCAAATTTCTTGTGCAGTGCTGCAGTGATAGTGCTATTAACAACAATAATCATTTTATTGAAGCTAAGATGTAGAAATTTATAAATAACAAGGGAATATATGAAAGTACATTTGTTCAAACTAAACTGTATTCATAAAAATCAGCTAACTTCCATTCGAAGCATGATTTTGTTCTATCAATAATATTTTCAAAATAGCATTTAAATTATTGAAGCATTTTGCTGACGATGAAATAAATGGTTATAGATAACTTGTAGCTTAGATATTGTGAAACTATTTTGTCCAAACAGTTACTTAGATGAAAAATGGAGACAGCATGCTTGCTTCAATTACTGAAATGATTTCTGTTAGTTGAATTATACAGTCAATTAATCATTGCAGAAATTGCCTGAATAATTATGTAAAAAAAGTGAAAAATTTCCTATAATTTTTAATAGTCTTGCATTTTCTTTTCCATCATATAAAATCTGGAAAATTAAAAGTTAGGCCAATGCATCTTACTTGCATAGGTACTAATATAAATACTGATATCTGTACACTTGGCTTAAGGAAAGGAACAATGAGTAATCGGATTACAGAACTCGGAAATGAAGTTGGTTAATCTTCACAATTATTTGGATACGTAGATAAAAAGTTTTATTGATTATTGTTAATAAGTACAAGACACTAAGAACAGGTACTTAATTGTGGTTACCGGCTGCCCAACTACATAATGTGTTTGAATAGAAACATTTTTGAAGAATCGATATAGTTTGGACAATTCAAATAACACGTTGATCAACGGCAGTCACAAAAATGCACCAGATCAATAAGAAAATAGATATTAACAAAATTTGTTTTTACCTGTCAAAACAACCTTGCCAGAGACAAATATTAGCAGAACAATTCTTGGTTTGACCATTCTATAAATAAGACCTGGGAACAATTCTGGTTCGTAGCTGGAAATGAAAGATTGTTGCATTAAAAGTGTAGATACCAGGAGAGTTAAACACTGATCTTGGGTCTAAACTGAGATCTATTTAGCAGCAAATCCATAACAGTTGAGCAAATTCTTACATTGGTATTTGCTAACTGAATTATTGTACAATGGCTTCATTCTCAGATGTGATAGAACATATGAACTTCAATGAAGACAAGATGTTTTTCTAAAGTCACTTCACAGTAGCAGGCCGAAGCCACTTTACAGTATTTTCAAATTTGCCATGCTAAAACACATTCTTTATTTCACCTTGCCTTCAAGGTGATGCTCATGCCCATTGATCTTTCTGAAGCAAAATGCTGATCTGAAGAACACCCCAAAGCACTGTGACTTTTAAACATCAAAATGGAAGAAGGATAAGTCTCTGTCACTTTTGTGCCTTGCTTAGCAATCATCACTGGAAGAAGCCTTGAGATCATCACCCTCAGTTGACAAACGGTGAATAATACATTGCTTCTGAACCAATGAGAGAAAACTGACTTAAAATTGGACTGAGGCAATTCAATAAACATGTACACGTGTATACAGATACATAGAAAAATTTAGCATTTAATCTGAAAATGTCACTTCAACAGTCACATGCAATTCATGTCTTAATAGTTAGTGCAATGTATAAAAGATAGCCAGTATGTGGCAAAATAAAAAAGGGCAGAAACCTCTGAGTCAGCGGCATAAATGGATTGAATCAAGTGACTACTGTCTTAACTGACCAGAACACTCCGCATACCAATGCTATCATCACCTTATATAAAAAAAATACAAAATCCCATACTCAATCGCAGAACTGTAATCCAAAGTCCTCTGTAGAAACACATTTCTGACCTACATGCATATTTATACTGCAACAGTGTGTATCTTGGCCAGCATGAACGGCAACAGAATTATGTTGCTGCACATCCCATATGTTGTCAGTTGGCTCTCACTTTGACTAAGCTCAGCAGCATTAAGCATTGAGAAATTAGACCAGGCCATTTCAAGAATTACAAGTATGCAAGAGTCCAACTTGGATTAAATACTAAAGTATAATAACATGTGCTTATAAGAAAAAAACATAGATAGATATTTAGCTGAATAAAAATTATAATCAACTACATTGAGACTTAAAATATTTCGCAAAATGACGTACTTCCATGCCTCATCTCATTTGGGAACGTCAAAACACAAATTTTTACTGTAACCCTGGTACTTACTATTCTCTAGTATTTGGTTCAAAAATCAATTCTTCACATCTGACATGGACATTAAATGTTGACAAGAAACAAACTTGCATTTATATAGTGCCATAAACATCTTTGGAATGCTCCACATTGTTTCACAGCCAATACTTGATTTTAATTGCAGAAGCATTTATTCCTTTACTCTTCATGAGAAATTAGGTGTGATTTTATTTCGGTCGTGCTGGTTATAGGACAATGTTCACCCGAGACAGGGAGAATATCTCTGATCTTCAATTGGTACCATGGAATATTTTAAATTCACCTGACTGTGACACACTTCTAGATGAACAGAAGTTTTACCACATTAGGTTAGGTTATGCGTTTAAACCTCTGGCATAGAACTTAAACCCACATCGTCTACCTCAAAAATAATGTATTACTTTAGAATTGAGGTTAACGCAGAATTTGATAAATCCTGCCTATTAGGTTGAAATTGATTTTCATTTACAGTAAAATGTATTTTTTTTCCAAAAACTTACATTAAACAAGGTGTTCAGAAGAGATGGGCTTCACCAGAGTCAAAATGGAACTAATCCCTGGGTGAAAAAGTAAATAGAGTAGTGGGGATGGATTTAAATTTGTAAGGCAGGAGGATGAGTTGACTAATGGGCATAGTTATGGAAGTACCAGAGACAGCAAAAGAGAGAAGATGCAAAACAAAAGGAAGTGAGGGAAGAGTCGAGTGTTGACAGTGAACAAAGAAATGGTTGCCTCCCAATGGGCAAGAAAGAGATAAAGGCAGGGTTAAATTGCATGTATGTAAATGCAGAGTATAGTGAATAAAACTGCGGAACAAGAAGCAGAATTTGCTGCAGGGGTATATGACATAGTAACATTGACAGAAATGTGGCTCAAGCTAAAATAGGACTGGATATGTAACATCTGGGGTTATAACATTTTTAGTGTAAATAGGGTGGGTAAAAAAGGTGGTATAGCAGCTTGGTCAGGAATGCAGATTATCTGGATGGTGGCAGTTTAGGAAAAGAGGTATGAGACCTGGGTGTCATGGTGGAACAGTTGCTGAAGGTTGGCATGCAGGTACAGCAAGCAGTGAGGAAAGCTAATGGCATGCTGGCCTTTGTGACAATGCTGTCACTTTAAGAGGTTATTTTGCCCCCTTCTTAAAAAAAAATTGTTAGGCACAGGTACCAAGCTGTCTGTAATAAAGTAAGCAATTTGTGAAGCCTTGGGGTTTTACCCCCCCTCCAAGTTGGAACAATGGAAGCAGTCTGGGTGTGGCCAGCTGCCATAGACCAGGCTTTCTAGATTTTAGGTTTCATTTTAAGCAGAAGCATTTTTGGGGTTTCAAAAGAGTTGGCAGCTTCAGTCAATTTCTCCTAGCTGTTACTTTCTCTGAATTTTCTCAATGTTTTTTCCCTCCTGCATGTGAGAATTTGTCTCTGAATTCGCCTCTGTGCCAAGGGGTGTATTTGTGGGATGATACTATAGTGCAACAGTTAATTAATAACAGTTACTGTATCTATTATTCAGTTAAGTTTTCCAATAGAATTAAGTTATTCAAAATTCCTCTGTCTTTTGTTTGTATTTTAACAATAGTGTTTAAGTAAATTGTGTTTTGCTTAACATCAAGTAGTTTGACTAGTCGCATTGCATCCAGCACATGGCACTTCGCATCTACCTTTAAAATTAGAAAGGCTACCTTCTTAAAGTATTTTGAGGGGGTCCGGTATGGTCCATAACACCTTCATAGCAAGAGGATTTGAATATAGGAGTAGGGATGTCTAGCTGCAGTTAAACAGGGCCTTGGTGAGGCCACACCTTGAGTATTTTGTGCAGTTTTGGTCTCCTAATCTGAAGGAGTCCAGTGAAGGGTCACCAGACTGATTCCCAGGATACCAGGACTGACATATGAAGAAAGAATGGATCAACTGGCCTTGTATTCACTGGAATTTAGAAGAATGAGGGTGGGGGGAGAATCTCATGGAAACAAAATCCCGATGTGACTGGACAGGCTAGATGCAGGAACAATGTTCCTGATGTTGGGGAAGTCCAGAACCAGGGATCACAGTCTAAGAATAAAGGGGTAAGTAAATCAGTACTGACATGAGGAAGAATTTCTTCACTGTTGTGAACCGTGGAATTCTCTACCATAGAAAGCTGTTGGGGCCAGTTGGTTAGATATATTGGAGAGGAAGCTGGATGTGGCCGTTGTGGCTAACGGGATCAAGTGGTATGGCGAGAAAGTGAGAATAGGATACTGAACTTGCATGATCATATCAAATCGTGGTGCAGGCTTGAAGGGCCAAATGGCCTATTCCTGCACCTATTTTCTATGTTTCTGTGACACAAATAGATTAAAAGCTTTGACAGGAATGCAATAAGAGGCTAATACAAGTGTGGTTCACTTAACAGGCAGAAACAGGAGAAATTATAACAACATGGAATAAGGAAATAGCAGAGAAATGAAACAAATACTTTGTATCTGGCTTTATGATAGAAATACATTTACCTTTCTGGAAATAGTGAGGAATCGTGGTCAGTGATAATGAGAAACTTGACATCAGTATGAATAATTTTAAATGGAAGAAAAATTCATAGGCCTAAAAGCTGCGAGACTACTGGTGGCTTATATCTTTAAGTTTTAAAAAGTGACCAGAGAGATAGTGAACAGTGAATTTGGTTATTCAGAATTCCCTAGATTTTAAAATGCTTTTTGTTTGGAAATGTTAAAATTGTAATCCTGATATTTAAAGATGAGCTGACAGAAACATGATTAAGGCCACATAGTCTGAGATCAGTAGTAGAAGAAGGGCTAGGATCTATTATGAGGAACGGAGCAGCAGAATACTTTAAAAAAGGTCATTAAATCAAGTTGGCATGGGTCTACGGAATGGAAATTAGGCTTGAAAAAGCTGTTAGAACTATGAAATTGTAAGTGGCATGATCGATAAGGGGAACCCATAGATGTGTACTTGCAATTTCAGAATTCATTTAATAAGGTGACACAAAAGAGGCTAATCATACACGAATGGGGCTTCATGGGATTGAGGTCATTATATAGCATGCATTGAGGTTTGGTTACAGACAGAATTGAGTAAGTACGAATAGCAGGTTATTTGTAGAATGGTAAATTGCTGCAAGATCCAATGCTTGGGCCTCAGCTACTTTCACTACAGGAACCTATCAACGACTTGAATAAGAGATAGTGTGTGGGTTGGTCAATAATACAAAGATAGGTGGAGAATAAGCTGTCAAGAGGATGCAAAGGAGCTTCAAAGGGATGTTGACAGATTGAAAGAATAGACACAAACATGGCAGAATAAACATCAAGTATAAAGTTAAACCCACCACCAATCGTCTGTCTTGATTGACGATGCAGCCTGTAATCTTCTGGGAGTGCATGAACTTTCACTTTTTCAGATTTGGTCTGTGGGTATTGCGGGGATTTCTGAAGTTTGTTGATACAGCCTTGCAATACAATTGGAGTCAAACTTTCATTGCATTAGAAACAAGAGCCAAAAAGAGAAAGCAAACTGCTGTTGCCTCGTAATAAAGGCGTTTTATGACAGAGAGACAGAATCATCCAGAAAGTCAGGCAGAACAAGGTGTTTGTAATTAAGCAGTTTTGAAAAACACATGGATAAGATAAAGTCCTAAAATGGCTTAGGAGAAATTCCAGAGGCTAAATGCTGCTGAAAGCTGAAAGTTTGGAATACCCAAATACTTGCTCAGAGAGGTTCAGTAAGGAAAAAGCTCCAGAAACCAATTACAACTATGCCAATTGAACAAAGAACTTTAAAATGGAGTTTGCACAAAGGCTTGACCATCTGTCAAGTTGCCATTGAAGGTATAAGGGTTGTATCTTCATTTCTGATATTTGTTCTAAGACCATTTCAAATTCTCTAATATATTGTAAAAGAATTTGTGTCTTTTTCCTTTTATGTGTAATGAACTTTGGTGTCCTTTTGTTAAAAAGTACATTGGCGATCTCTTGAGAATATGTTCAGTGACTAATCAGCACAATAAACAAACAGAAAAAATAAAACTATGGTCTATCAAACCACACTTAACTTTGCGATTTAATTTGTCCAAGATTACCATCAATTGGGATTACAGCGCATGGTATACGAAGATATTCCTATATTAATTCAAAAGCTGGAAAGGCTTTAATTAAACAATCTATTCTAATTATAGAAAGACCCTGAATGATCCAGAGAAAATGGCCTTTAATTGTACAACTCTGCGTTACAGTGTGGGAATAATGACAAGTCTATTAAATCATAGAAACAAATCTGAAGGACTTCAGTAACCATTCACTCCAGACACCTTTGCTACCCCAAAAATGCTGAAAAGGCAACAAATTGTTTATTTCATAGTTACATGTGCATAGGCTAGGCCATAAAATTGATATGCTCAAAAGCATACGTGTGATATGGAGTTGCAGAAAGCAATCTTAGATTTCTCTCCATAATCCAGGTGGTAAGCTTACTGCTTGGAAATTTTAATAGGATTGCAAATTGAATGCCAATCTAAAGTTAAATTTTTATGCAGATTAGCAAAGTCACCTGTATTAATTTATTTTTTGAACAGAAGAAAGAAGTAATTTGGCATTGACAGAACTCAAAAATACTTAAATTCCCAACTAACTTTATTTCTCCGCTCCATCAGAGGACAGTCACTCAGAATAACAAGGAGGCCTTGATGGAATGCAGAGATTGCATATTCTAAAAGAAACAAACATTGCATAACTAACTATATTTATAACAATGCATCCAAGGAGGCGAGGAGCAAAAAAAAAGTGCCTAGTTATGCATATGGGTTTTTAATTCATAGGATTACTTTCAGTAGCAACTATCTCACTAATGGGAATAATTTAATGAACTTGGTTTGGATCAGTGCAGCTTGTTTGAGACACTCATGCAAAATTTATTTGAAAAAGCATGTAGGTAATCTTTGTGAAATTTAGTTATACTGAGAAAAGATCCAAATTCTGATTGAACCCTACTCTCCTATACAGTAGCCTTGCCTGCCTTCATTGCTCCCATTTCCCCAAGACATCAAAATCCTTTTCACAAATTAATGATTGCCCTCTCATTTATAGAAATCATGTTTCTCAACCCCTGCACGCTTCACTCTGGGCTACTTTGCATCCTCCAAACTCAACTTGAATTACAACTTAAACGTTCTCTCCAAATTCCTTTTGCCTTGTTATCAATGTTCAACACTTACCAATCTCCCCAAAATCTGATCTCCCGCATGTCTAGTTCTTGCCCCTATTCCAACACCCCAGGAAGTGTGTTAAGGCATTTTACAGGAGAAAATTAGCAATAAAAATGCAAGTTCTTTTAATTTCAAAACCCAAAATCCACTGTTGCAAACTGATACATTCATTGGCCATTTTGATACTTGAATATTACAGTAATTATCATAACATCATCCCTCAAAACAAAATAAAATCAAAATTTTAAAACAAAATGAAACTACATTTAAGCCTGAAATGGATTTACAAGAAAGCCAGTCCTGGAGTATGCTGTACCTGCTGAACTGTTGGTGGGTGAGAACCAACCCCTCTAATCTGATGGGAAATTTCACATCACAACTTCCAACCATGTTCTGGATTTTAAAATCAAGAAACTTTGCTGGAAATCCAAGTTTCTGAACAACGCGTGCATATTTCCTAGCTGCTAATCGGGACTGTTCTTCACTGTTAAGTTGAAGAAAAGAGATTCCTGTTAATTAAAAATCATGGACATGCATCATGAGTAACCTTCCACAATTGTCAAACTTCAATATTTTAAAACTTAAATAGGATATTATACCTTTTGGCTCCAGTGCAAACCATCTTGCCTGAACTGAAGATTAATGCTGTAGTTCTGGGCTCTCTTATTCGCATTATCACTGCAGCGAACCGCTATTAAACAAACACAAGTCAGAACAAACTTAGGTCTAATTATAAACATCTACTACTTTAATACTAATCAGATTATAAATATTTCTAAATTCTGCAAAAAAAAATTACTCTGACCCAAACTCATGAAAACTTAAAATGTTGTTCATCTGGAAAAAAATAAACTCAAAGCTGCAGATAAGAAATAACTATATTTTGGGTACATAGTTTAAAGATGAGGGGTTTCCTTTCTAAGGTTCAATAAGGAGCCACTTTTATATCTTCTGAGAACATTGTCAGTTTATGGAACTCCCCTCCCCAGAGACCAATGGAGGCCAGGTCATTGAATATATTCAAGGCGGAGTTAGAGAGACTTCTGATTGTTGAGTCACAGGGACACACAGAAAAGTGAGGTTGAGGCTACAAATCAGATCAGCCACGATTGCACCAAATGGCAAAACAGGCTCCAAAAGGTTGAACGGCCAACTTCTGCTCCTAATTTTTGCATCGTGGTGTATAAGGGGCGTCACTGGCTAGGCAGCATTTATTGCCCACGCCTAATTGCCTAGAGAGCAGTTAAAAGTCAACCACATTCCTGTGGGGCTGGAGTCACATGTAGGCCAGACCAGGTAAGGATAGCAGTTTCCTTCCCTAAAGGACATTAGTGAACCAAATGGGTTTTTCTGACAATCGACAATGGATTCATGGTCATCATTAGATTCTTTAAATTCCAGATATTTTATTGAATTCAAATTCCACCATCTGCCATGGCAGAATTTGAATCCAGTTCCCCAGAACATTATCTGGGTCTCTGGATTAACAGTCCAGCGAGAATACCACTAGGCCATCACCTCCCCATATTATGGAAAGGAACACAATGTAATGGGAATGCACAAATTAACACATGCATATTAGAGGTACTTCTTTTATTTATTCCTAAATCTGCTGAAACAACCATTTTGACTCAACATTATATGGTATACCACACGACTACATACTTCTCTATGGATACCAAATTTATTTTGTTTAAACTCATTGGATGTGGGGGTCAGTGCGAGGCCAGCATTTATTGCCCATCTACTCTCAAGCTCCCTCAGTTGGGCAAAAGGGCAGTACATAACATTTCAAAGCTCATCCAAGTCACCATTATTTATGAGGCAGTCTTGACTGCTAGCCCAATCAAGCGACATAAAAGTGTGGAGGACAACAGTTCAAACATCACTTCAAGGGTTTACATCTTCTCACTTACAATAAAGGTAATTTATGATGTTTGGCGTGGGATCTCTGCCTGTTATTTTTCTATGCTAGATTCTGGTGGTGGGGTATTTCTGGTGATTATCCTAACTAGAAATAGATTGTTGAAGTAAATCGCTGCAGATTGAAGATACAAGATCATTCTTCTCACAATGTCTGATGTTCCTTGTACAAAGCCATGGTTTTACCAAGAAATGAATACAAGCCTGGTCCTAAATTCCTGTCCATGGCATCTAAGATGGCCATACAAAAGGGAGGAAGTTTTGTAGCAGAGTTCAATTTTCAGCATCTCCAATGACCTAGCTAAGACTAAAAACTTGCAAAATTAAACAAACATTCTCAATTATACACCTTGAACTTTTAATGTAATCTTTTCTGGTCCATTGGAAAAAAGGTTCTGAAGTCACTTATTCTACAATACAACTGATTTGCATATCGTGCTAACATTGATAAATGTTACCATTGATTCCAGATATCAATCATCTAACTTGTAAACAATGCAGTGGATCAGAAAAAATGTTTTTACATTCTCCATTTTTAATCAGATTCTACTGGATGCAAGTCAAACTCTAATGATGAAGAAAAATCAATTAACACATGAACTACTAATATCCTGTTTGAAGAATTACCTTTGGATTATATTCAGCATTTCTTGCACATAAGGCTATTCTCTTCAGGTCCAATTTGCAGGCCAAATTAACAGTGGAAACAATATTTCTGTGGAAAAAAAATGAAAGCCAAGGTTATGTACTCTAAGTAAATCCGCACAAACATTTTGATCAGATGTACCCAAAAGTCAAGAACACAATTTCTAACCTTACTGGTTGTAGTGTACTTCAATCTCTCCCACTCATGCTTGCAAGAGTGCGTCTGCATATGCAGGAGGAGCAGAATGCTTTTAGCCTCTTGACAATTGGAGGCAGTTTAGAGAAGGTTCGCTGGATTATTCCAGAGAAAAAAGGCTCCTCTTACGAGGAGAGATTGAGCAGCTTCAGCCTATACTCACCAGAATTAAGAAGGACAAGTGGGGATACAAGAGGAAATCAAATTGAGGTATAAGATACTAAAACGGATTGATAAAATAGGTGTAGAAACAATTTCCTCATGTGAGGAAGTCTAGAATGAGAAAGTCTAGAATGAGAAGTCAATTTTACGATAAGGGGTGGCAGATTTAAAACAGAGATAAGGAGGACTTACTTCTCTTAAAGAGTTATAAGTCTGTGGAATTCACTATCCCAGAGTGCAGGGACACTGGGATATCAAATACATTTGATAAGATAGATTTTTAATTAGTAATAGGTTAAAGGGTTATGGGGAACGGGCAGGAAAGTAGAGCTGAGACTGCACTGAGATCAGCCATGATTGCATTGAATGGCAGAGGCTGAATTGCCTACTCCTGCTCCTGGTTCTTTTGTTCTTGTCAACCTAGGTTGGTGATGTGCCAGCCCAGACCATCATAGAAGCCAACCTTCCATCCATGGACTCCATTTCCACGGCTTGCCACCACGGAAAGGCAGCCAACATCATGAAAGACCCATTGCTCGCTGGTAATGATCTCATACAACCTCTTCCATCAGGCAGAAGGTTCAGGAACAGCTTCTTCCTGGCCGTTATCAGACTGATGAATGCACCCTTTAGCCTCAAATAATGCTGATCTTGCTAACATTGATCTTGCCCTGTGCAATATAACCTGTGTGCCTTTAAGTACATCTTTGCTTACTACGTTCTGCCTGTATTGTTCATAAAGCTTTTCACTGTACTTCGGTACACATGACAATAAGATCAATAAGCACATTCTCTTAATTCGACCCTCTGACACCAGTCCAAGGGCTTGGCCAAGCTAAACTGCCTGGGACGGTCAGAGTCATAATCTTGTCCACGTAAAAGGATGAGAAGCCGAATATCAGACAGCACACCACTTGACTTGACTATTTCCTCTCATTCCAATAGGAAAATGGGAGGAAGATATGAAAAGAGATGAAAACATGGTACAGCTCTTTCTTTGGTACAGGTAGGTGATATCCTGTGTGACTGACTAGGCAGCAGAGAACATGCAGAGTTAGTGGTGGGTGACAACAAGTGAGCAAAGATGTTGCAGGCAATAGCGTGGACTGGGTAGATATAAGCCTTGGTGGGAGCTAGATACGTAGTAGTGTGATGATATGTGCCTTTAAGGATTTGTTCTGTCCTGCTTCTCTCGAAGACGGGTGTTGTAAACCTTGTACCGAGGTGTCTGCTCCATGGAAAGCAGAATAAATATCTTTGGGTTTTTTCTAAACAAAAGGTAAACAGAAGAAGCACGAGTGGCTGGAGTCAGGCTCACACAGACCCAGGGTTCTATAGGGTCAGAGTCATACAGCATAGAAACAGATCCTTCAGTCAAACCAGTCCATGCTGACAATAGTCCTAAACTAAACTAGTCCCACCTGACTGCTCCTGGCCCACATCCCTCCAAACCTTTCCTAACCAGGAAATTATTCAAAAGACTTTTAATTGTTGTTACTGTCCACCACTTCTTCAGGAAGCACCATCTGTGTAAAAAATTTGCCCTTTGTCTTTTTTCAATCTCTCACCTTAAAAATATGCCCTCGTCTTGAAATTCCCCATCCTTAGAAAAGACAACTACCATTAACTCTATCTATAGCCCTCAATCTTATAAACTTCAACAAAGGTCACCTCTCAACCTCCTATGCTCCAGTGAAATAAGTCCTAGCCTATCCATCCTTTCTTTATAACTCAAACCCTCCATACTTGGCAACATCTTGGTAAATCTCTTCTGAACTCCCTCTAGATTAACAATATTCTTCCTGTAACTGGGCAACCAGACTGGACACAGTTCTCCAGAAGAGGCCTCAATGTCCTGTACAACCTCAACAATGATGTCCCAACTCCTATACTCAGAGGACTGAGCAATGAAGGCAGGGAGCAAACACCTTTTTAACCACCCTGTCTATATGTGACTCAAATTTCAAAACATTATGTAGCTGCACCCCAGATCCCACTGTTCTACAAGACTACCCCAGGCCCTACCATTAATTGTATAAGCCCTACCTTTGTTTGTTGTACCAAAGTGCAATACTTTGCATTTATCCAGACTGAACTCCATCTGCCATTCTTCAGCGCATTGACCCATTTGATCAAGATCCCTTTGTAATCTTAGAAAACCTTCTTCACTGTCTATTATGCCACCAATTTTGGTGTCGTCCACAACATTACTAATCATGCCTTCTAAAATCTCATCCAAATCAATTATATAAATGACAAAGAAAAGAGGACGCAGAACCAATCCTTGTGGAATACCACTGGTCTCAGGCCTCTAGTCTGTGAAGCAACCCTCCACTATTACTCTCTGTCTCCTGCCATTAAGCCAATTATGTATCCAATTGGCAAGCTCACCCTGAATCCCATGTGACCTAACTTCACTAACTATTTTTTCTTTCAGTTGTGGGAGTTACGATTTTGGAGTTGAAGCAACATCTCTCTCTCTCTCTGCTGTTGCTGCTACAAAAGCTCGAGTGTTCTGTCTGTTGTGAGATTCATTCTTTTGGTTCTTTTCTTCTGGACTGAAAGAGATAACAAGTGAGGGAAATCTGTTTTGCTGTATTTGCCTTTGCAAAGGGTGTGTTTTTGGGATGCTACATTGAAATAATTGTTCAGTAATACTTAAAATATGTATTAATTTAAAGTATTTTGATAGAGTTATAGTTATGCCAATTCTTCTTTTTTGTGGAAGGCTTCAGAGATTCAGGAGGTGGATAACTCACTGCAATGGTAATCCCTGTGATGGAAGAATAAAACGTGTTTTGCTTAAAGCCTAGTAGTTTGACTAATTGAATCACATCTGGAACGCGGTGCCTTACAACGGCCTTTAAATAAAATAAAAGTTAGGGTCTCAACTATCTCCTTGATATATTTTGAGGGTTTGGTCTGGTCCTAACAGTCGAGGAAAAGTAAGCACGAGGTATCAGAGAGAAGATGGCAGCATTCACCCTCGCAGAATGCAGTGCTTGCTGTGTGTTCCTCCAAATAGTTTAGACCTGGTTGACAATCTTGGACCAGGCTAGCAGGATCTGGTGTCATGGTATCCATTGTTGGTCCTAGGGCAAGAAGTCTTGCCTCTGCACCATTCTGTTCACCAGGACCTCTAGGTTTCTGCCTGAAAATCAGGGCACCAAAGTTTCGTAGTCTGCCATGTCAAGAGCAAATGTCATGTGCACCTAGACAAGTTCTGTCAGCAATTAAGGGAATCCTCAAGGCAGAGATAAATGAGGTACCAAATATTATGACAAAGAATGATTATGTTTTTTGATAAGTACAGGTATAGCTTTGAGCATGAAGTAACAATAGAACATTTAGAAGCCTTTGGAGAAACAGAATTAGACCTGATAATAAAAATTCATCATCAAATATATAAACAAAAGTTACATCCCATTGACCTGAGATATTAACTATTCATTTTGATTCCTTGAAAACCAAAAGAAATGGAGTGCAATCATTACATTAAAGTTACCTTGAAAATCATGAGAGAAATAAGAACATACTTGGAGAAATTGATGAAAAGAGGTTTGGATTTAGATAAGTGAGGACATATTAAACCCAAGAACAAATTTTCAATACATCACTCAGTAAACCAATGGAAGAGGTCATCAACAGTTCTATCAAACAGCACCTCCTCAACAATAACCTTCTGAGTGACCCTTCCACCAGGGTCACTCAGCTCCTGACCTCATTACAGCCTTGGTTCAAACACTGACCAAAAAAAAAAAAGATGAATTCCAGAAGTGAAGCAAGAACGACTGTCCTTAATATCAAGGCCACATTTGAGAGAGTTGATATCAAAGAGGCCTAGCAAAATTGGAGTCAAGTGGAAATCAGGGTGTATAAATCTCCACTGGTTGGAGTCATACCTGACACATAAGATGGTCGTAGTTGTTAGAAGTCAGCCAGCTCAGCATTGCCACAAGAACTTCTCAGGGTATGTCTTCAGCCCAACCTCCTTCAGTTGCTTCATTAAGAACCTTCCCTCCATCATGTGATCAGATGTGGGGATGTTTGCCAATGATTGTGCACTGTTCAGTACCTGCACGATTCTTCAGATACTGAAGCAGTCCCTGTTCCAATCCAGCAAGACCTGGACAGTATCCAGGCTTGACCTAAAAAGTGGCAAATAACATTTGCACCACACAAATGCCAGGCAATGACAACCACCAATAAGAGACAATCTAACCACTGTCCATTGACATCTTTAGCATCGCTGAATCCTCCATTATCAACATCCTGGGGATTACCATTGCAGTGAGTTATCCACCTCCTGAATTTCTAAAGCCTTCCACAACCTATAAAGGCGTTAGTAAGGAGTATGATGGAATACTCCCCATTTGTCTGGATTCATACAGTTCCAACAAGATTCAAGAAGTTTGACAGCTTCAAGGACAAAACAGCCTGCTTAATCATTTCCATAAACCATCTATTCCCTCCACCACTGAAGCTCAGTAGCAGCAGTTTGTGGTATCTACAAGATTCTCCACAGAAATTCAGCAAAGATTCTTAGACAGCACCTTTAAAATACAGAACCACCTCAATCTAAAGGACACAGGCAGCAGCACCACCACCTGAAAATTCCTCTTCAGGCCTCTCACCATCCTGACTCAGGATATTGGTGTTCCTTCAGTGTTGCTGGGTCAAACTACTGGAATTCCCTCCCCAACAGTATTTAA